ATAAGTTGTACAATTAAAAACAAAAAGGTGTAGAATCAAAACAGAAAACATGCAATAACTACATGTAAAAATAACAAAAGTAAGTAAAATAAGTATAACATAAGTAACAAAAGAAAAACCACGAATGAATTAAATCAAAACGTAAAATAACTCATAATTACGTATAAAAAGAGCAAAAGTAAAAATATCAGAAGAAATTAATCATCTAAAACATACATACAATTTTAGTCCTTTTCATTTTACGAGTCAGTCAACGATGAACATAAAGTTTCTTCTTTAATGTCATCATCATTGTCATCCATATTTCAAGAAACTTCATCATAAGTCCGCTTGATATCCTCTAGAGAAATTAATTCTTCGGTTGAATCAAGATGAGTACAGAAATTTGGCATATCTTGCTATTAGTGAATGAGTTTAATATTAGTTTCATCTCAATAATTTTTTTTTGTTTATTCTTCATAATGATGGTCAAATATATTTTATCCTTTCTTTACCAAGATATCAAAGGTAATAAACATGACTAGCTTAACATTCTAGAATAAATGGATTAAATTTTGCATATCTTCTATTCATTTTAACTATAATAATATCATATGTGCTTAGTATTTAAGTTTCTCAATTACGAACATAATCAAATCACATAAATTTGAACATATAAACATTGCGCACAACTTAATCCGGATATTGCAACTATATTACTTATAGTAGTATGACATAATAGTTGATGCCACTAATTGAGTGTATGTTTCCTCTAACACAAACACTGTAATTATACGTCTTCTTCCATTCACAATAGAAACTCATGTGAAATCCATAAATGTTACCATCAAATATTTATCATGTAGTGACACGGTAATTAAGCCTCAAGTAAAATTTAACAAGTCCTAATCTATTATTCCATTGCTTATATTATGAATCTATAAGAAATTTCAAACTATAATTAGTTTTACTTGGAAAGTGAGAATTATATTACGTACTTGTGAATTGAAGAGTTACTTCAATATACGTATAATCTGAACCATGTCAGAAATTATTTTTCAATCTTCTTACATATTACAAAATCATCCCCTATGCTTGAATTGTTAGTAAAAAAGATCCTCCTACCTTAATTACTTTTATATTGAAATTAATTGGAACAACAATCTGAATAATAACTTAAAAAATATTTTATCACTAGAAATCTTACTCTATAAATGGTTGCATTTTGTCACAGTTCAGTAAAACATATAATATAGCTACTTGAAGCTCTTTATCATTAAGGTTGTGTGTACTATGCTTCCTTGATGGTTTTCATGATATCTAAAATACAAATCATTTGGAATGGGAATTCTTATCACCAACATTTTGATATGTTTACTATCCTTGCTTAAAATGATAATAACATAAAGTAATTGTCCTCTGCAGTAAATATGTCTCACATATCTAGCCTCCAAATATGCTTTATTTTTAAAATTTTTTATTATTATTTAAAAATATGTAAGATGGATATATTTTTTAATAAATATGGTAGTAGATTAGATGAAAATAAAATTTAAGGCATTTACAAGCATTGATAAGACATACCTCTTAAAGGGACGTATAGCCTCATAATATAGATGTGTGAGAAGATGCTTCATAGAGTCAAAGAAACCAAAAAGGAGTATTCATCGAGCTTGCATAATATTATGTGAATACTCATATCATGATTTTCCAATGAATCAACTTTCACACAAAACTCCTCGAAGAATTCACTAATTTGATTAGTGGATTAAGTAATAGCTTAGGCAGAGCACTGAATGAAGTTGGCAGTAAGTACTATAAAAAATATGACTGTCGTGACTTTCATGTTGAATATCTTCTATGTACCTGAGTCAATTTAGTGGCTCAAGTTCAATACACTTTCACTAGGAAACTTTAGAGAGAGCATTAACCAATATGGGATAGTATATAGCTTTGAGCTTTATTAGTTTACTGACATTTATCTCATGAAGTCATAACCCCTTCCTCTTGCAATACTTCATCCAATTAAAACTATTCTAAGAAAGATGGACATCATTAAAACTACTTTTATTGTGGAAAATGGATACAGGCTTACAAAAAAGTGGATCAAAATTATAATAAAAATGTTTTGAGCTTAGACTCAATCCAACAAAAATGATCTAAATTTCAATCTTTTTTTAGATTTTTGTAATTAGCGATACATGTATCACAATTGAAAACTCACACATTTGGAGCTGTAATATTAGAAAAAAGAATGGTTGTTACGGTTGAGAAGGAGAGCCGCATGAATGGAATAATTACTTGCCAATGTATTGTTGTTTGCAATAGTAACTATTGGGACATAACAGTCTAAAGAAGTGGAGATGATAATTATTTAGGTAAAGATAATTTGTTGGGTTTTTAAGACTTCTTAAAGGGAAAATTCTTATCATTCTCTTAGTGAATTAGAAAAGGATTGTAATTTGGGGACTCAAGACAAGTGCTAGGGTCATATACAAAAGTGCTCCATGAGTGGCATAGGGAAGGTTTCCATTCATAAAGAATTAGATGTCAGACATCCTAGCCTTTAACTAAGATTATTTTCAAATATTAATCTAAGCGCTCACTTTAGTAATGGTAAGCCGAGTTCTTTAAATAATTAGAGGATCCACTAATATGTCATTCACCGATGACCAACATACAGATAAGTTAGAAAATTTTACGCAAAATGCGAACCACTGTGATATCTTCCATTATAGGTTGAAAGTCAGGGGTTCATTTCTTGAAGATAAATGTTTACCGTTAATAAACTAAGGGACTCCTTCCAAATTCATTACCAAATCCTCAATAATGATAAATTCAAAGTGAAAAAAAAAATATTAGTGAGTGAAATAAGCTCAACTATCCATTTGAGTTTTTATTGTATCTTTATGGCTTGCAAAATGATGCCAAAAAAAGGCTGATTATCAAGCATGTAACCAACCAAAGCTAAGCCACATCCCTTAGAGCCATCTTATATTAAATCATCTCAGATATAAAAGAGATAGGAACTTGTGGGATTTGGTACATGAGAAAAGATATGCTATTTCCATTTCATGGAAGGAAAACAACTAAAAATAGAAGTTATGGTGGAGGAAGGGAGAGGATGCAAAGCTATGGCATCCATGTGGACTGAAGATGGTAGTTGTAGACAAAACACTAGAAGTTTACAATTGCGAGAGTTCCACATCTGCAACTGCTACAATTGTTAATCTTCGTATTAGTTTTAAAATGCATAAATTTTTCTTTTTTTTATTTTCTTTTTGTTCATTTATGTTCATTTATGTTATATGCTCAAATTCCATCAATTAGTGAGCACTCAAATCATTTAATCTAACATCTACTACTTTATTTCAATAAAAGAGCATGATATTAAGAAATTGGACTAGCAAGTATCATATTTATTTTTAGAAAAAATATACTTACAATCCACCTAATTTTTTCTATTTACATGTCTAACACAAGCTTTAATTTTTATATTTATACTATCTACCAATGCACAAAAATGATAATTTTATATTTTTAAAAGATAATAATAATGATATTTTTGACTTGATATAAAATATTTGAGCATTCTAAATAAAAAAAAAAAAAAACTTTGGAGTTATGTATTTAAATAAATAACATTTACTAATCCCCAACTATTATTTCTTATATAGGACTTCTAAAGTACAAATTTAACAAGTTTGATTAATTTGACACTTCTCATGTATGTAGTCAATAAACTATTTTGGCACATTGCTCCAATTGTATGATATGTATGTAAATGCTCTATATTAGTATACAATATAAACAAGTTCTTTAAGTTTTTTAAAAGAGCATTTATCCATGTAATAAAATAATCATAAGTTTAGATAAAATGACAGTTTACCTTCCCGAAGAGCTTTGCCTCTCGAATTACGAAATCAAAAGCATATCTTTTAATGTAAAAAAATAAAATAAGTGATATGTTTTTTAGTGATTTGAATGATTTAAATGTAAGAAATCAAAGTTTAAGTTTTTGACATGTTCATACATAAGTAGGGGGTGATATGCCTCATGTTTTAATTATTATAAGAAGCATGTTTGCTTCCAATTGCATTCAGACATTGATCTCGATGCTTTATCTCAGTTGGATTAAATGATTTGCATGAAAATTCATCATTATACAGACATTGATCTCGATGCTTTATCTCAGTTGGATTTCATCATTATCCATTCCTTATTTTTGCCTAGCTCATAAGCTATGAATGAATAACATTCCACCTAGGTAAGCCCCCACTTTTATTAACTAAAGCTCTTAGAAAAAGAAATTATGAGATAAGTTTAGCTTGCTGATGTATGCCAAAAAGTAAACTTTCAACATAGTATTTTATTTGGTCTCATGAAAAAATAAGGAAATGAGCCAATATTGGGAGAAAATATTTGGTGTGGAGCACGCATGTGCGATCAACCAATAGGAGGAGAGAGAGTGAAGGGAGAGAGAGCATGTCCCTCCACTCTCCCGTCTCCAATTGGGTAGTTACAGACGTGTTGTCCGCACCTAATATTTTATCCACACTTGAAATCCCCTACCTTGAAATGCTTTTGATTTTGTATTTCATCTTCATAGCTTAATATTGAACAAAATTAAAAACATGCAAAACATTTTTCTCTATTTAAGGAAATGTTAATAAATTTTCATGGAAAGTTTAAGTAACTAGCAAAGAACTCATATATATTTACATATTTCACCTGGAAACTTTGTCATTTACACACATAGCACATTGGCACATTAAATTTATGCTTCAAAAAGATATTTTTCATTTTTAAAATTTGATAATAATGATTTTATTTATGCGGTATTAAAAATTTGAGGGCTAAATGTGTGAATGCATCGTGTGAGTGCATCTATATATATATATATATATATATATAAATTAATGAAGTTTAATATTTTGATTCCACATATATGCAACTTGCTTTTTTTATTCTATTTTAACAACCATGATAACCTCCAATAAAGCTCTATCCATATCTGAAAAGTGAGACCAAAATGACCTATCATATGCATGAGTTCCTCACTTTCTTATAGCGGGTGCAACATTAATGTAGACTAAGCGATTTCACAAAAAAAGCTCCTTTTTATATCTTTCAACTCTTCTCCTTCCATTCCATCCCTCTCCCTCCCTCTCCCTCCCTCTATATAACCTACCCTACCATCCTCTTCTCCTGCCATTCCTTCAACATCAACCCAAACAATGGACTCTCCCGCAACAACAATGGGAGTCTTATCCATTCCATCAACCATCGAGCATAAATTCTCAAACAATGGCAAGAGGCAGGCATGGGCGAGAGAACTCCACAGAGTATTTTGCATGCAAGGAGGTGACACTGATGTCAGCTATGCCAATAATTCCGAACCAACTGCATGCGCTATTGCCTTATCTAAGCCACTGCTGCATGATGCCATTGCTTCAATGAAGCTTTTCCATGGAGAAAAATCTATAAGGATTGCAGATTTGGGCTGTGCAACTGGCTACAACACGGTCTCCACTGTTGAATTTGTGGTGCAGAGCTTGAGAAAGCGGTACGAGGCTGAGCAGAGCCATGTGCCAGAATTCGAAGCATCTTTCTCTGATCTCCCTTCAAATGACTTCAACTCACTGTTTCAGTTGCTTTTGCCATCATTTGATGTAACAGAAAGGCCATACTTTGTGGCTGCTGTTCCTGGTTCCTTCTACGGGCGCTTGTTCCCTTCAGGGAAACTCCATTTGGTCGTTAGTTTGAATTCCTTGCATTGGCTTTCTAGGGTATATAATTACTTACTTGGTGCTTCACTTTTATTTATTTATTTTTTAAATTAATTATTTAATTAGAGCATTTATGAATGATGCATAGATTCCGGAGGCAGTGCTGAGTAGGCAGTCATCTGGATGGAACAAAGGCAGGGTGTGGATTGACGGGGCTAACAGGGATGTGGTCGATGCCTATGCGAAGCAAGCACAGGAAGACTTGGACAAGTTTCTCCATTGCCGAAAAATGGAGATTGCAGAAGGAGGAGTCCTCTTTCTGTTAATGGCTGGGAGGCCTAGCTTGCAGCCTCCTGAGAACCAGTTGAATGATGAGGATACAAGGGCCAAACACCCTTTCACCATTATTGATCAAGCTTGGAAAGAATTAGTTAATGAGGTAAATAAATATTTCTAGTATTAAATGTGATGCCCCTCACAAAATATTTCAATCATTCCCCTCTTCCCTCCTTAAAACCCGCATGACAGTGTATTCTTGGTCCATGATGAGGAAACATTAGAACTCCTAATGTAATTTTGTATTAGGAGTCTAGTGATGGGGCACCACGTATCAAATGATCTTACTGTAATACACTTTTTTGGGGGTCAACTGACATGTGAATCCCCACCTTTAGACTCCTAAACCTCACCTAATTTTTTTTCGTTCATGACAGTGCATAAATCATTTTTTCTTAAGCAGGGATGGCTCGAAGAAGAGACTCAAGACATGTTCAACATTCCTGCATACATGAGAAGCATGGAAGAGGTGAGCTCTGCATTTGAAAAATGCAAATGTTTTGAAATCAAAAGTATGAAGTATTTGAAATTGATCGAACATTCGAAAGAGAAACAAGAGGATTGGATTAAGGACCCAATCTTATACGGTCGAGCGAAGGCCAACTTGGTTCAAGCCGGCTTAAGGCCTCTCATCGAAGCTCACCTTGGCATGGCGCCAACAGAGAAATTATTCAGTAGGTTTGAGAAGAAGTTCTCAGAGGACATCAATTTGCTCAATAAGACTTGTTTCTATGGCCTTATTGTGGTGAGTGCAATCAGGAAGTGAGGTTGTTTTCTTAATAATCATGTGTGAAAGTTCTAGTTTTAATCTTTGAGTTTTGTTAATTAAAAAAAGGAAGAAGAAGAAATATCTCATGGCGCATTTTTTATAGTGTCCATAAACTATAGTCTGATGATAACTAACTAGGCTATAACATTCGCAGCAAGTTAACTCTGTAGTATAAAAGCGGCATTGATGGATTGGGACAACACAATGACAAAGAAATCTGCTACTTTAAGCTCCTGCAAAGTGATACTTGTGTAAGGAATCTTGTAGTGAAGTCCAGCAGCAATGTGTTGGACATAGACAACAAATTTAAGTACCAGAAATTTCATTTTCATTTTTGATTCATCATATCATCATAATTCCTGTACATTATTTTTGCATATCCATCTTTAATGTTCTCCAATATGTTATGTGTGCTGAACAAAGCACTTTAAATAAATAAATAAATAAATAATGCACTCAATAGCTCTACGAAAGGAAAAAAAAATATTACGTCATGACTCCAAATATAGAGCTACGTTCGGGTTGCAATAGTGGTTGTGTTATTGGAATAACCCGCTGTGTTATAGAAATATTCCATCCGAGTTATTTTTGAAATATGACGTGTTATTTGAATATTCTTCTGCGTTACTTGATTTGGGTTGTGGTATTCCAATAACATAGTGAAAATTGAAATAACACGGGTAATATGCCGAATACAGCCCCAAATTAAGTAACGTGGGGGAATATTTCAATAACACCTCAAATTAATCAAATAACACCACATAATACTCGAATAACACTTCATTTTTTACAAATAATATTGATGGAATATTCCTATAACACAGTGGGATATTCCTGTAACACAGTGACTATTGGAATCCAAACGTATCTCTACGTTTGGAGTTCTGACATAATATGCGCTCCTATAAAAAGTGATTTTGAAACTTGAATTTAAATCACCAAATTAGCTAATGTAGTTGCAGTTTACAATAAAGCATTACACTTTTGAGATTGGCATATATACACATGTGAGCGTTACACATATGAGCGCGCACATATATATATATATATATATATATATAAAACAGGTTATTAAAAAACACTTGCATTATTCGAATCTATATATTTGTGGTGGCCCACATGCTAAAAGCTAATGGGAAAAAATACAAATCATATCAATTAATATCATTATCATTCCCCACTTCCAATTGAGATTTTACACCTCCGACACATTCTATCCGACTTCTTCTACTTCTTTGACCACCTCAAAAATTCCTCCACTTTCTCGTGTCTCATTATGATTCACACATCAACAAAAAAATCAATCATATTTGCTAAATTTCCTAACTATATTTAAGTTGCTTCTATCTTCGACCTCTTATCTCTTACATTTATATATTTTATCCTTCACCTTCTAAATCTCACAAAAATTCACAACTTGATTTGAGACATCAAAAGAAAAGAGAAGAGAAGACAATAGAAAAATAAGTGGTTAAAAGGCGAGAGAGAGAGAGAGAGAGAGAGAGAGACTTTACTTAAGCTGGCTTGAATGAGAAGTTTGATTCCAACAGAGAGGCCCACTCTATCAACCATCACATCGAATCTGTTATGCAGGCCTGTGATTTCCTAGTCTTTACAGTCCATGTGAACCTGTCTCATGCTTAAATTCGGGACCACACTTACTTGGCACGTTAGCGTCTAGCATAATGTGATTCAAAAAAAGCACAACTCACAAGAATTGTTTTTTCTTTCCTAGATTTTCAAATGTGGAGAGCTAAGAAAATTATTCCAATTTTTTATGACCAAATTACTTCAATCATACTATGAAAGCGACACTTTCATATATCGGTGAGTATGTTATTAAAAGTTTTAAATATAATGATCATAAATTGAAAAATATGTATATTAGAAGGATTAATATTAGATTGTCTAATTGGAGAAGATCTAATTTCAACATCTTTCATATAATAGAAAGATTAATATTAAGTATTCTAATTAGATGAGTTTGTAAAAATTAATAGAATTGGAGATGGAATTATAGCCCTTAAGATTGTTATTGGTACTAAGATTTTTAATGTTATAAGTGCTTAGGCTCTTCAAGTAGCTTTAGATATATGTTCTAAGATAGAATTGGAGATGGAATTATAGCCCTTAAGATTGCTATTGGTACTAAGATTTTTAATGTTATAAGTGTTTTAGGCTCTTCAAGTAGCTTTAGATATAGGTTCTAAAGAAAAATTTTGGAATGACCTAGAGGAATTAAGACAAATGATATCTTTTGAAGAGAGAAATTTTATTGGAGAAGATTTAAATGGACATGCCCATAGAGTAGTAGAAGGTTTTAGAAATATTCATGGTGGCTATGATTTTGGGTTGATTAATGAAGTCATATTAGATTTGCTTTGGCATATGATTTTATTATTAATAATACTTTTTTCAAGAAAAGAGATGAGTATATTATTACTTATAAGAATGGATCTAATAAAAGATAAATTGATTATTTTTTTATGAGGAGAAGAGATTGTCGAGAATGTAAAGACTATAAGGTCATTCCAAGTGAAAAATTAAGTACTCAACATTGATTATTAGTTATGAGTTTTAAGATGAAGAGTTGAATTAAAGAATACTATGAGTCATTATCATAGATTTAGATAGGGGCACCTAAAAGACATAAATAAAATTAATTTTATGAATAAACTTCAAGATTTCAATATTTGAGATGTTCATGAAGAAGCAACCTCTATGTGGGATAAAGTAACAAACAATATTGAACAAGTGGCAAAAGATGCATTTGGATAATCAAAAGGAAAAATTTCTATAAAGAAAAATTGTTTGTGGTGGAATAATAATGTGCAAGATAAGATAAGATAAAATATAAGAAATTATATTAGAAAATTTGGCTTAAATGTAAAAGCTTAGAGAACATAGAAAAATATAAAATGACCCATAGCGAGTCTATGTGAATAATCTGTCACCCTAAAACTTCTACTTTTTGTTATCTTTATAATAGATTATAAACTAAAGAGAGTAAAAAATATATGTATAAATTAGCCGAACAAAAAGAAAAGAAAAGTAAATATGAAAATCAAGAAGTACTTTTCTTAGAAAATGATATTCAACATAGGTGGTTGAGTTATTTTGATAAGCCTTCCAATGAAGTTTCTAAAAATATGATGAACTTAGTGATCTTAATATCATCAATAAAAATAAAATATTTCATTTTTACTGCTGCATTAATAAAAGAGAAGTTGAAGAGGCTTTATAAAGTTTGTAGGACCTGATGATATCCCACTTGAAGTGTGAAAATATTTAGGAGATTTGGGAGTTCCTTGGCTTACTCAACTCTTTTATGTTATTTTAAAACTAAAAAGATGCCTAAGGAGGGGAGGAAGGGTATTTTGGTCCCCATTTTTTAGAATAAAGAGGATCCACAAGAGTGCGCAAATTATATAAGAATTGAGTTAATGTGTCATACTTTAACATTATGGGAGAGGGTAAATAATTGAACATGATAATTGAACATGGGTTAAATTGAACATGGGTTAAGATGTATTACAAAAATTTCTCATAGCTAAATTGGATTTATGCCAGGTAGGTCTACTATGGAAGCTATACATTTACAGAGAGGTTTGATGGAGAAGTACAGAGAGAATAAGGATGGTCCACATATGATTTTTTAATCTTTTAGAAAAAAACTTACAATAAGGTTCTAAGAGATATCCTTTGGAGATTTCTAAGGAAAAATTTGTTGATATGACTTGTATTTAAGTCATTAAAGATGTATACTAGAGTTGTTACTTGTTTTCCAATAGAAGGAGAATTGATCAAATATTTTCCTAGTTTTGTTGGATTACATTAGGGATCAGCTTTAAACCCATATATTTTTTACATTATTTATGGATGCTCTTACTAGAGACTTATAGGAGAACGTGCCTTGGTGTTTGCTTTTCGCTAATGATATCCTTCTTTTGGATAAGACTAAATAAAGAGCTTAAGAAAAACATGAATTATAGAGGTCTACTTTGGACTCTAAACTCCTTCGTTTGAGTAGAACTAAAACTGAATACATTGAAATAATTTTAGTAGTAGTAGCTCTAGTGATAGAGTTGTAACTATGGGTGATAAAGTTATTAAAAGGTGTGAATGTTCTAGATTTCTCGGGTTTATTGTTTAAAGTGATGGTTATACATATGAGGATACTATTAGTAGAATTCAAGTTGGTTGGTTGAAGTGGAGCAGTGCTTCGGGCTTATTGTATAATTAAAAAGTACCTCTTAGAAACAAAGGAAAATTTTATTATATTGTTGTGAGATCTACAATGCTCTTTGGTGCAGAATGTTTTCCTTTAAAAGAGAAGCATAAAACCAAGTTATGTGTTGTCAAGATGAGAATGCTTAGGTGGATGAGTGGCTTTACACATAGAGACAATTTTTAAAATGAATATATCCATGATAGGTTTTGTGTATCTTTAGGGATGAACAAAATTAGAGAGAGATGTCTTAGATGGTTTGGTCAATGTAAACGTATACCATCTGATGATCCGAATATAAGATTAGATGTTTTATATTCAGGTTATGTTAAGAAAGGCAGAGGTAGACATAGAAAGAGTTGGACATATTGTATACAAATGATCTAAATTTATCAGATGGAAATGAAAATATGACACTCAATAAGACATAATGGTTAAAAAGGATTCATGTAGCCCGTGGGATAAAGGCTTGTTTTTGTTGATTAACCTAGTTAGGTGAGATCAAATTATATGAATTTTTGAACATTTGAAATTCCTAATTTGTATGTCTTAATTCTCTTTTGTTTATACAAGGTATTTTGATTGTTTTTTGTGTGTTGATTTATCACCCTATTTTGAGGCAGTTATCAGAGCTACATTCATGGACTTTCAACAACAAACAACTGTGATTCTTGTGAAGCAATTGATAGAAAGCAATAAGATCATATATAACAAGTTTAATTAAGACCTGATGAAGCCATGGGTGATTGCGTTTTGTCATGTACTTAAACATTAACCATGATGGCGAAACAGGCATTCATTCATCTGGTGGTTAAACATCTCGTCAAGATATATGATGATTTTTGATGGTAAATGAAACCTTCACATGTGGTGCGAGGCGATGGGTGTGTTGTGCTTTTTAATTCTAGAAGAAGTTCTTGATAGCAATGAACATTCTAAAGAGATACTCAAAATGAGACTGATTTAAGATGTACTAGAGTGCTTGTAGTCTGATCCAAAGTTAATTAAATTAAGAGATAAAATATGTGGTGATGATGGAAACCGATATAGGAAAATTATGAAAAATATTGAAGAAAAAATATC